GTTCTTATCTGGGTTACATCCTCCCCGCCTTAAACCGAGCACGTCCCGTTGCATGCTAAAACCATTAAACAACGTGGATAGGCGGCACAAAAGGATCATTAGAGGTGGGGACACCTAAGGCATCAGACAAACTGTGTAGTAATGTCTGGACTACAGATACGAGTGGATTACCAAGGGCATTATACCGCAGTCGGTTGGGTGGTGCTCTCTGACGGGTTGAGCGTCTAAGAGTAGATGTCATGTCAGGGTCAACTATGTCAGTGGCAGTGACAACTGGTGGGTCTGAGTGGTCAAAGGTTGAATCCTCAGATGGGTCCTCGGTAGATATAGCTTCAGGTGAGTGTACAGGCAAGTCTGAGATAGATTCACCAACTTGGACTTCTCGATACACTTCCACACTTGACTCTTCTGGGTTACTGCTTGTTTCCAATCCTGACTCTTCTGCCGAAGCAACAAGACTGACAGACGGTGAGGTTGGAGCCATTTCTCCTGGTTCTCTTTTTGAAGAGGCGACAGGGGCTGGACATGTCTTCTCCACCGTGAAACGCACCGCAGGTGAGTTGAGGCTGAGAGGTGATGTGTCCTCAAACTCGTCGTCACTAACTGGAGAGTCTGTGTGAGTGTCTGGCTCAGGATGGAGGCGAGTGCGAGGTCGAGGCACAGGAGCTATATCACAGGGCAGTTCATCATCCGTATTGGCTGGAAGGAAACCGCAAGGAAGGAGGAGGTCCCTATGGAGTGTACGTAATGGCCCATCTTTGTGCTCAGGTCTAACCTTATAAACTGGAAGATCTCCAGCTCTGCTGATCACAACAAAGATGTCATTCTCCCATTTGTCAGAGAGTTTGTGTTTTCCTCTGAGGCGTACATTCCTCACAAGCACTCTGTCTCCCACTTGCAGTGCTGATGGTATAATACCCTGGTCAAAGCGCGTTTTGTTTCGCTCAGCCGATTTGAGAGCATTCTTTGAAGCGATCCTGAAACTCTCTTCCAGGCGTGATTTCAAGTTTTGCACATACTGTGAATGACTCTTGTGTATGTCTCCCTGCAGAGGTAAACCAAAAGCGAGGTCAACAGGTAGACGAGGTGTTCGTCCAAACATTAGTTCATATGGTGCATAGCCAGTAACATCATTCCTGGTGCAGTTATATGCATGAACTAATGGCTTCACATAGTCTTTCCATTTTGACTTCTGCTTTTCCTCAAGTGTTCCAAGCATACTCAAAAGCGTCCGATTAAATCGCACCACCGGGTTGCCTCTTGGATGGTATGGCGTCGTTCTGCTCTTCTGGATTCCTGCTACCTCACACAACTCTTTAATTAGCCTCGACTCGAAGTCCGGCCCCTGGTCAGTATGGATTCGCTCAGGGATGTCGTAATAGACAATGAAACTGTCCCATAGACTCTTTGCCACAGTTCTTGCTTTTTGGTTGGGCGTTGGAATGGCCACCGCAAACTTGGTAAAGTGATCTGTGAGAACAAGAATGTCTTTGGTGTTGCTTGAGTCGGGCTCGAGGCTCAGGAAATCCATACAGAGTAGTTCAAGAGGACGCGAGGTGGTGATGTTGACCAGTGGAGCAGACTTACCTGGCAGGGCCTTCCTCCGAACACATCGACCACAGGCCTTGATTTTTTGTTCCACGTCGACAGCCATTTTAGGCCAGTAGAAACGGCCACGGACCAGGTCAAGGGTGCGTTCTATTCCCAAGTGGCCCATATCATCATGGAGGCTCCTAAGGACAGCCAGACGGAGTTCCTCAGGAAGGACAAGCTGGTACGACAAAGTATCATTATCTCGCCGTTTGCGATAGAGAACACCATCGATGAGCTCTAGCTTTGTCCATTCCCTCTACAGGAGGGGGAGTTCCGGCAGCTCTTCTCGGGCTGTTGGAGGGACCTTTTCTCCCGTCTCCATCTGATGGATGAGCTCTCGGATGCTGGGATCCCCTCTCTGTTTCTCTCTCAGGCTGGAGTGAGACAACGCAGGAACAACAGGTAAGTGATCTGCATAGGTATAGCTATCAGGAACAGAAGCAGCTTGAATAGAGAGCGACTCAACAAGTGTTATGCAAGACTGACCAGAATCAACCGGCTCAGCAGCTTTAACCAGCTGACTCTGGCAGATTGCGTCAACAATGTCAGGAGTAATGGCATCAGAGTCTGCAAGATGTCGTGACACAAACTGATGAATGAGCTCGTGGTCTTCAGGTGACTCTTCTGTAGAGGTCAAATGAGGTCGTCGAGAGAGCGCATCAGCGTCGTAATTGTGCTTTCCAGCCCGATACAGCAACTTAAAGGAGTATGTGGAGAGGGCAGCCAACCAACGGTGACCAGTAGCGTCCAACTTAGCAGTGGTTAGGATATAGGTCAGCGGGTTGCTGTCCGTCACTACGGTGACATCAGCTCCATACAAGTAGTCCTGAAACTTTTCAGTGACACTCCATTTAAGTGCTAGGAATTCCAATTTGTGGGCGGGATATCTGCTCTCACTCTGGGATAAACCACGGCTGGCAAATGCAACGACTCTGAGCTTCCCGTCCTGTTCCTGGTACAATGCGGCACCCAATCCAGTAGCGCTTGCGTCAGTATGCAATATGTATGGTTGAGAAGGGTCAGCGAAACAGAGAACCGGTGCGGACGACAGCTTGTCGATGAGCGTGTTGAATGCCTGTTGACAGTTCCGGTTCCATCGCCCACCAAAAGGCTGGCTCGGGCTGTAATGTGGCTTGGTGGACCCTTGGATCTTGGACCTTCTGACAGGAGTGTACCCACGGGTAAGGTCATTTAGGGGCTTTGCAATGATGGCGTAGTCTTTAATGAACCGGCGATAGTAACCAGCAAATCCAAGAAAAGATCGTAGTTGTTTCAAGTTTTTGGGAACTGGCCAGGATTTGATGGAGGCAATCTTTTCCGGATCGGTTTCAACTCCCTTTTCTGACACGATGTGTCCAAGATATCGGACTGAAGTTTGGAAAAACTTACACTTCTCCAGGGAAAGCTTCAATCCATACTCCTTCAACCGGTTTAGTACTCGTAGTAGTCTTCTCTCGTGTTCCTCCAGAGAGTTTGAAAAAATAATCAGATCGTCAAGAAACACCAACACTTCCTTTAAATGAAGGTCACCCATACATCTTTCCATCAAGCGCTGGAATGTGCTGGGCGCGTTGGTGACCCCTTGAGGCATCCTGTTGAACTCCCAGAAGCCTAAAGGAGTGACAAAAGCGGTCTTGGCTTATCAGACTCATTCATCTCGATCTGATAGTAGCCTGACCTCAAGTCGAGTACTGAGAACCATTTTGCACCGGTGAGGGCAGTAAAGGAGTCTTCCAAATTTGGCAGAGGGTAGGCATCCTTTATCGTCTGGAGATTGAGTTTACGATAGTCAATACACAACTGAACGTCACCATTCTTCTTCCTGACGACCACAATAGGGGATGAGAATGGAGATGTAGACTCCCTGATGACACCAGCCTCCAGAAGCTCACGAAGATGTCTGCGTACAGCTTCGATATCTTGTGGATGGATAGGCCGGGCACGTTGTTTGAACGGGGTCTCGTCATGAAGAGTGATGTGATGTTTAACCTGGTTGGTACATCCAAAGTCAATGTCATGGTGGGAAAATACCTCTGACATCGCAGTAAGCTTCTTGGTGACTCTCTCCTTCCATTCCGGTGGTATCGTGGAATCCCCAAAATCCAGATTCAGGGCGGATGCTTGCTCGGCTGGAAGGCTGGTCACTTGATGCTGAGAAAGGATGCACTGGTAGACCTCCAATTCTGCAATCACACTTAAAGGTGGAATGTAAGCGTCTTGTTCTAGCTCGTTGGTTACGATTACTGGCACCTTGTAGGGGGCATGAGCAGGCAGCGAGATCAGACAACTGCTGACGCATAACCCACCAGGCAGGGCTGAAGCAGGATGGTGTAAAAAGATAGACTGGCAGGGTGAAGAAGAAGACATTCTGGCGGAGCCCTCAATGACAATAGTGCGGCCGGCCGGTACTCGCACTGGGACTTTGCTCAGGAGTCTCACCACTCCTACATTACCTGTGTCTCTCTGCTGGTGTGTTAGCTGCAATGTCTTTAGCACCGCTCTATAACCATGAGTGCTGGGCTGAAAGGTTGGAAGTTCACTGCACAGATGTTGCTCGTACAGGGGCTCGAGTGTATTCATTCCAATCAGCACAGTAGATGGGGAATCAAGGCGTGAATCAGGAACCACGAGTGCTAGAGTGGAAACTTGAATGTCTTTTCCCAGGAAGTCTTTGGAGAACTTCATTGTGAGGTCCACATAGCCAAAGTAGGGCACAGATTGGCCTGCAGCTCCTTCAATGTGTAACAGGTCGTTGAGTGGATGGATGGGTTCATCGTGAAGATGGCGGTTGTAAAACGACGCAGGTACAGTGGTCACTTGTGACCCAGTGTCTAACAGACACTGACAGTTGTGACCAGCAATGCCAACTTCAGCTGTACAACGAGATCCCACCAGGCCACGGGGCAGTTTGACTGTTACTCCGGGTCTAGGATGCTGTATCTCTTCACACCGAACAGTTTCCTTCAAGGGTGCGGGACAGTTTGGGTCCAGCGCAGTTCCTGTTTGTCCCTCAACAGGAACCAATTCTAGTTTAAATGTTCGGTATGGGAGGTTCGATTTTGCCATCGTTGTTTCTTCTCGTTGAACTGCTTCCTTTTAGCACTGACGAGTGAAGAGTTAGGCGGATTCTCACACTGTGGCTTAATGTGTCCATCTTCACCGCAACGAAAACAGAAACCAGGCTTTGGACTTGAAACAGCAGAGTTCATTGACTTTTGCTTCATGTGAGGCTTTGCGGTATGACTGGGTCTTGAACAGCTGGACTGAGATCCTGGAGACTGGGCAGCGGTCAGCGCGGCTAGCTGTTGCTGTATGGCAGCCATCTGCTGGGTGAATTGTTTGGTGAGAGAGGTAAATGCAGCACACATCCCTTTTTCCTCTTCTTCATATGCAAACTGGGCTTGTGATGAAACTCTTTGTTTTGTGTTCCCCAGATGCTGTCTCATCCTCTGTGTCTTTGCAGCTTCACGGTCCTCTTCAGTTCTCAGGAGCAGCAGCAGTTCAACGAAGGATGGTGGATCGGTCTTTCTCTGTTTGAGCTGGAGTTCTGAGATGAGTGTGTTGTCCCAGCAGCCTCTGCAGAATTGATTTAGCAGGTTTTTGTTCACATCAGACTCTGGCACTCCTCCTCTCTTCACTGCCAAGCTCAATGCCACCTGTAACCGCTGCAAATAGGTGGATGGATTTTCACCTACGTTCTGAAAAGTATCCATGAATTTAGCATATAACTCCTCCCCGTCTTGCACAGTACCATAGGCTGAGTCCAGTTGCTTGATGTAGATGTTAGGAGACTGATCAGGACTCAGATGTTTTACGATGTCTGCAACAGGGGGCAGTAAGCTGTCGAGAATGAGGCGTGATCGCTGGATGTCAGATATAGCTGGGTCTTTCATAATCAGATCAGCTCCAGAGCGCCAAGTGTCGTAGTCGACTTCATGTGATGGACGTGGCACTCTTCCAGAGAAGACACGGAGTCTGTGAGATAAACGTGTGTGCATGGGTGTATCCTCACTTTTAACAATGTGCTCCACCACATATCTCTGGACCTCAGGTGGATTCAGGTTATTGGCAGCAATATTAATGGAGGACAATCGCTCTTTAGGTCTGACTGTGGGAGTAGTGTCAGGAAGCAGAGGTGAGTTGGCGGCCATTTTGTGTGGCTCTGCAGCTGTTGAGGCTTCACCCGAATGCTCAGCTTTAGCAGGGTTCACAGGGAGCTCAGCAATGGATTCGCTGATTTGGGCCATCATCTCCTGCAGTACTTCAGCAAAATCCTTCCCAGACAGTTTAGCCACTTTTTGAAGGTCAAATATGTCTTAGTCTTTAAGCTTCCTATTTCAGTCATGTAAACTTTAGATAAGGTTTTAATGCAACACTTTTTCTCCGTACTTGTAATAAAAGTATACGGTAGCAGCGCATTTAATAAAGTTAAGGCTGATGCAGACTCATACTCTACAACCCACATTTTATGATATTCAGATTCTGGTGAATCGATAGAAAATGCACGATTAACAGTACCATAACGCTCCAGAAATACTCCGACTTCCTCAGCTTCATCTTTAGAAACGTCACTGAGCAGTACCGCATTTGGTATTTTGACCGCATGCTCGTCAAACACATTCATTTTTCTGATATAAGGGTTTTGGTGAGACTGAATGGTGAAAAACCAGTGAATTAATTAATTAATTGAACTAATTACTGCACAAAACCCTCCTGGCTGGCTCGCCACTAATGTAACCTGTACACAGGGCAGCATACTATCGATATAATGCAGGGCAGCACATACACTGGGCCAGGATCAGAAGATTTAGTTCGACTCGTGGAGGGGTTTGTGCAGTAATTAAAACACACAGGCACTGGATGGTGATTGGTACCATATATTATTGTGACAGTTTGAATACAAATAACAAAATGCAAGATAACAAAAATTATAATTACCCAATATTTACAAGTCTGCAGACTAAAAGTGCACGTGCGATGTTTAGCTTATTTGTTTACTAAAGAAATGATAACAAACCAAAAACAAAACACATTTGATGCCCACAGTTGAACTACCTAATCGGTAACAGAACACACACACACTTTACATTTCACACTGTTCGCTTCAATAGTCCAATAGTCCAACGCTACACAAGGTGAGTGTCGGTAATTGTCCATAGGCTAGAAGCCTTGTGTGTGGGGGTGTGTATAGGAGCGAGGAGGTGGGGGGGGGCAAGGCTACCACAGCCTCCTACCAGACCAGCTGACGATGCAGATTGAGGTTCTTCAGTTCCTGGGCCGGGGTGCATTAGCTCGCCATCACATAGTTACCCAACTGGTAAACCTGGCCAATTCCCTTTTCATCTTGGATAACCCACGCGACCAAACGGCTCTTACTCCCAGGACAGATGGAGACTGCGGCAGCTGCTCGGTGTGCTTCCCCCCACGCTACTGCTGGAGCAAAGCACCTGCAGCTTGTAACACGCGCTGAGAGTGACACGATTGGTCGGGACCGCACGTGGGAAGACGTTTGCTGACGTAACCGGAATGATGCAACCGCGCATACGCAACCAACACACAGGTACAAGCACACTCGACAAATACAATAACCACAGCGTTCTTATCTGGGTTACATCCTCCCCGCCTTAAACCGAGCACGTCCCGTTGCATGCTAAAACCATTAAACAACGTGGATAGGCGGCACAAAAGGATCATTAGAGGTGGGGACACCTAAGGCATCAGACAAACTGTGTAGTAATGTCTGGACTACAGATACGAGTGGATTACCAAGGGCATTATACCGCAGTCGGTTGGGTGGTGCTCTCTGACGGGTTGAGCGTCTAAGAGTAGATGTCATGTCAGGGTCAACTATGTCAGTGGCAGTGACAACTGGTGGGTCTGAGTGGTCAAAGGTTGAATCCTCAGATGGGTCCTCGGTAGATATAGCTTCAGGTGAGTGTACAGGCAAGTCTGAGATAGATTCACCAACTTGGACTTCTCGATACACTTCCACACTTGACTCTTCTGGGTTACTGCTTGTTTCCAATCCTGACTCTTCTGCCGAAGCAACAAGACTGACAGACGGTGAGGTTGGAGCCATTTCTCCTGGTTCTCTTTTTGAAGAGGCGACAGGGGCTGGACATGTCTTCTCCACCGTGAAACGCACCGCAGGTGAGTTGAGGCTGAGAGGTGATGTGTCCTCAAACTCGTCGTCACTAACTGGAGAGTCTGTGTGAGTGTCTGGCTCAGGATGGAGGCGAGTGCGAGGTCGAGGCACAGGAGCTATATCACAGGGCAGTTCATCATCCGTATTGGCTGGAAGGAAACCGCAAGGAAGGAGGAGGTCCCTATGGAGTGTACGTAATGGCCCATCTTTGTGCTCAGGTCTAACCTTATAAACTGGAAGATCTCCAGCTCTGCTGATCACAACAAAGATGTCATTCTCCCATTTGTCAGAGAGTTTGTGTTTTCCTCTGAGGCGTACATTCCTCACAAGCACTCTGTCTCCCACTTGCAGTGCTGATGGTATAATACCCTGGTCAAAGCGCGTTTTGTTTCGCTCAGCCGATTTGAGAGCATTCTTTGAAGCGATCCTGAAACTCTCTTCCAGGCGTGATTTCAAGTTTTGCACATACTGTGAATGACTCTTGTGTATGTCTCCCTGCAGAGGTAAACCAAAAGCGAGGTCAACAGGTAGACGAGGTGTTCGTCCAAACATTAGTTCATATGGTGCATAGCCAGTAACATCATTCCTGGTGCAGTTATATGCATGAACTAATGGCTTCACATGGTCTTTCCATTTTGACTTCTGCTTTTCCTCAAGTGTTCCAAGCATACTCAAAAGCGTCCGATTAAATCGCACCACCGGGTTGCCTCTTGGATGGTATGGCGTCGTTCTGCTCTTCTGGATTCCTGCTACCTCACACAACTCTTTAATTAGCCTCGACTCGAAGTCCGGCCCCTGGTCAGTATGGATTCGCTCAGGGATGCCGTAATAGACAATGAAACTGTCCCATAGACTCTTTGCCACAGTTCTTGCTTTTTGGTTGGGCGTTGGAATGGCCACCGCAAACTTGGTAAAGTGATCTGTGAGAACAAGAATGTCTTTGGTGTTGCTTGAGTCGGGCTCGAGGCTCAGGAAATCCATACAGAGTAGTTCAAGAGGACGCGAGGTGGTGATGTTGACCAGTGGAGCAGACTTACCTGGCAGGGCCTTCCTCCGAACACATCGACCACAGGCCTTGATTTTTTGTTCCACGTCGACAGCCATTTTAGGCCAGTAGAAACGGCCACGGACCAGGTCAAGGGTGCGTTCTATTCCCAAGTGGCCCATATCATCATGGAGGCTCCTAAGGACAGCCGGACGGAGTTCCTCAGGAAGGACAAGCTGGTACGACAAAGTATCATTATCTCGCCGTTTGCGATAGAGAACACCATCGATGAGCT